CAGGGGTGGTGGAGGGAGTTCTACTGCAGTAGGGAAGGGGCAGCTCTTTAAGCTATTGTTATTGCTTTATGTTAATTTCTCTTTGGTATTCTTGTACACTCCACCACAATTTCTAAAGAGCTCGCGCAGCCTTTTTAAGCAGCTATCCAATTCCTTTTGAAAGTCATTATTAAATCTTCATCTACCACCTTTCTCAGTCAATGTATTTAAGGTCACAGCAACTCACTGCATAAAGATTGCAAAAATCCTCATGTTACTTCTGGTTCTCTGGCCATTTTCCATCAACTTGTTTCCTCTGGTTATTAAGCAAGCTGCTGCTGGAAGCAGTTTTTCCTCTGAAAATTTTTTCACGATTCCAAAACCCTCCGTCACAAGTTTCTCTGAAATGTCTCTGTTCTGGGGATTAAAATCCCAGTTTCCCAGTCTCTCCACATTATCTGAACTCCCTCATCACTGGTACTGACCCAGTAAACTACCTTCGTACTAATTTAACACATCAACTGAGACCGATCCAGGCTTTGATAATGCTTTGTTATAACTCGCTTGCTTTCTTTCACTCTGCTTTTATAAAACCCAGGATCATATATTTTATTAACAGTTTCTAAACCTCTATGGCAGTGCGCTGATAAGACATTCTACCCAACAGAACAACAGATCTACCCCACTCCTGTCACCACCTGGGACTCAGACACCCTTCCAAGAGGCACTGAACCGATTAACAGCAAGTAACTGTGGCTGACTGACCTCTCTCTCACTCACATGTTGGGAACAGAAACTGCACCCCGCAGCCTCCATACCAAATCATTATACGGCAATAACAGGGGATTTTCCAGAAAGCTTTGATGATGCTTTTGTAATATGTAGTCTGTTGTAACACTAGTTTTCTTCCTTCCCTCTGACAGATGATTCATGGCATTATGGGGACAACCTATGAGATGCTGCTGATTGCAGCTGTACTGATACAGCAGGGAACACAAGCAGGTACACACTACTACTTTCAGATTCTCAGCCCTTGATCATTCTCTATTCGAGCTCACTAAAGGAATATTACAGAATGGAATGAAAAGAGAACAGAAAAATGTGTTAAAATTGTTAGAACTGAGCAGAGAGAGACAGTAACAGTTAAGGGCGGTTTTCAGCGTGCTGGATCATTTATCTTACAGGATGCTGTCTGAGGTTACTTCTAAACATTTGGAGATCCGTTTATTTAGAAGGAGTGGTGTTAGAATCTGAAAATGAATCTAAAACAATTACTGTAACCATTTTTTGTTTGAAGATGAAATAGAGCTACAAAAAATATTTTGATAAGGGGGGGATTTTGTGAAAAATAGGTTGATGCATTCAGCGTCAGTAAGAGCAAAATATTGTAGTTTGGTAAAATGACAGCTGTAATAAAACTGTGAATAGGAGTTAACTCAGTTGCTGGGGAAAAGAAGAGATATTTGGGGAGAAAGGTTCACAGTAAAGGAAAACCTCAGGTGATGGGGTACAAAAACAAATGACAATTAATTTCTAGGTTTTAACCATAAGAGATGTAGAATATAAAAATCAATCACTAATGTAGAACCATGTTAAAAACATACTAAGGTCCAAACCAGGAGCATGACTCTATGACTCAAGCCTGCTCCCACATTCAATAAGATTATAAAAAACCAAGGAACAGTCACTCGACCCGAAACGTTAACTCTGATTTCTCTCCATAGATACTGCCAGACCTGCTGAGCTTTTCCAGCAATTTCTGCTTTTGTTTCAATAAGATTATGTCTGATTACTTTAATCTGAAATCAGCATTCCCACAACTCCTGATAACTTTTCACCCCTCTTGTTTAACACAGATCTTTCTACCTCTACTTTAAAAATATTCAAGGAGTCTGTTTCAACCAGTCTTTCAACGAGAGAGTTCCAAAGATTCATTACCCTCTGCAAGAAATAATTTTGCCTAATTTCTGTTTTAAATGGGCCTAGCCTATCCAAACTTTCCTCACAAGACCACCCATTCATTCCAGTTATAAGTCTAGTACAAACTGAGACCAGTCAGAATACTGTGGACCTTCAACAGGCTTGTTATCAAAGAAAGGATGATGAGATTCATTGAGGTTCTGTCTGGTTTGAGGAACTAGAAAAACAAAGTCTTATAAAACTGAGCCATATTTTGTTAGAATAACACAAAGAACAGTACAGCACGTGAACAGGCTCTTTGGTCCCCCAAGACTGTGCCAGCATATGATGCCTTTCTAAACTAAAACTTTTTGCCTCTGCGTGACACGTATCCCTCTATTCAAGTCAAGTTCCTGTGAGTGACAATCACCAACAATCTGACCTGGTCCACCCACGTTCACTCTATGGCCAAGAAAGCACAACAATGCCTCTATATCCTCAGGAGGCTAAGGAAATTCAGCATGTCCGTAAAGACTCTTACAAATTTTTATAGATGCACTATAGAAAACATTCTATCTGGATGCATCATGTGGTATGGCAACTACTCTTTGTAAGACTGAAAGAAACTACAGAGATTTGTGAACAGAGCCCACTTCATCCCGCAAACCAGCCTCCCATCCATTGACTCCATCTATACTTCCCGCTGCCTCCGGAAAGCAACCAACATAATCAAAGATCCCTCTCACCCGGTTATACTCTCTTCCGTTGGGCAGAAGATACAAAAGTTTGAACAGATTCAAGAACAAGCTTCTTCCCTGCCTTTATCAGACTTTTGAATGGGCCTCTTTAGGGTTAATGTTGATCTCCCTCTGCACCTTCTCATCAGCAGTAACATTGTATCCTGCACTCTTCTATTACCCTGATGCACTTATATAGTAAGATCTGCCTGTAAAGCACATACGACAACACTTTTCACTGTGCCTTCGTACAGGTGACAGCAATAAATCAAATAAAATACTTCCTGCCTAAATATATATCTGTCAAATGCTTCCTAAATGTTGTTACTGTATCTGCCTCCACCACCTCCTCTGGCAGCACATTCCAGGCACTTACCACCTTTTATGTAAAAAACCTGCCTCTCACATCTCCTTTAAAGTACCCCCTTTTACCTTAAACCTATGCCCCCTAGTAATTGACATTCCTACCTGGGAAAAACACTCCAACTATCCATTGTATCCATGCGTCTCATAACTTTGTAAACTTCTATCAGATGTATTTGGATCCTGGTATGTGCGGATGAATGGTCAGTATTGGGGGTGCTGATTATTGACACGATACCTTGTCTCATTCTTTTGCAGTGTTATTTTTGGGTCACCTGTCTAATAATTCTGACTTGGATTTTACCTGCTATAAATTTTCCCTGAATGACACCACTGCTTTTGCAACTGGCACAGGCTTATCCTCAAACTGTAGACTCTTGGCCCAGTCCAGGGTGGGGGTGGGGGGTCCTCTATCCCTAGCCCAGGATGGTTAAGGCATGGAGTCGCTCTTTATCTCTAGCCCAGGAATGTTGAGTCCTGGGTGTAGTTCTCTGTCCCTCCCTCTGTTAGATTGAGGCCTGGTGAGGGTCTCTGTCCTAGCTCAGGGATGGTGAGTCCTGGGTGTAAGTCAGTCCTACACTGTTCAGTGCCTTTCCCCAGGGCTGCAGCTCCACCCAGTGTGCTTTGCAATGTGAAGCGATGATTGCAGCTCTATATCAAAAACAGTGCCATTTCAGTCACTGGGAACAACCAGATCCTTGATGCTGTTGTATTGAGACCAGCCTGGAGAGTGAGTGAAGCACTAAGCGGTTGTCACCTGTTACCTTGTGGCTCAGGTCTCTTGGAGGAAAGGCAAGGCCAGAGAGTGTCGGCTCTTTCCCATTAAAGCTGGAAAGTGTTTAACTGCCAGAGCTCACTTTCCTCCTTATTATTACTCAGACCCATCCCAAGACCTGTTCTGCTTCAGGCACCACAAGAATTCGGCAGTGAATTGTACCTGGAGTCCAAGTGATGTCACCCCCACAAACTACACCTTCTATTTTCAGGAGAAGGGCAGGTGAGTCATCTCATTATATTGATTCAGCAAATGTACAGTCAGGTCCTGTCAGAGAGGGACATGGCTTGGGGGAGGGGGTGGAGAATCCTGCACTCTTTAATCAGAACTTGGTCAGAACAATCTGAAACCATATTTTCTACCTTCATCACATAATCCAAACTTCAATTCCATGCAGTTCTGAAGGGGGTGACATTAACTCTTTGTCTCTCTACACCTGCTGCTTGATCTGCTAAGGATTTTCAGCATGTTCTGTTTCCAACTGTGGAACTATACCCTGTGTGAGTTGATACTTTCAACAGAAGTGGGAGAAATGAGGGGGGAAAGAATGTGTGGCACACACTTCTCATTCTTCCTCTGAACGTGCAATCTTCAGGCTTTTAAAACCCAGATTTTGTATTTTCTCCTCACTGTCTGACTAAAAAGAGTGAAATTATGAGCCGCGTTGCAGAAACGAGCTGGAACAGGGTTGCCTTGAGTATAAAAGATTAAGGAGTGATCAAATGGAGATACTTCAGATGATCAAATAAATTGAAAAATAATGTTTCCGCTGGTGGGCAGTCTAAAACAAGGAGTCCAAAGCTTTAAAATTATTAAACAGAATTTCTAGCACAGGAACAGGCCATTCAACTCAACTGCCCATTCCCGTACTCTGCTCCTCACGAGTCTCCACCTACCTCTCTTTGTTGCATCTAGATCACCATATACTTCTCTGCCTTTCTCCCTCACATGTTTTTCCAACTTCCCCCAAAATGAATCTGTACTATCCACCTCAATCCCTCCCTGTGGTAGCAAGTTCCACACTGTTTCTCTTGTGAAGGCATTTGTCCTGAATCCCTGCTAGATTTAGTGACCATCTTATGTTGATGCTCCCAGATCTGGTCTTGGCCACAACTGGAAACACATTCCATTACATTCACCCCATCAAACTCCCTCACAATTTTAAAGACCTCGATTTGGTCTCTGCTCCCCACCAGGTCTTCTCTTTACTCAGCTATTCTGGGATAATGTCAGGAAATACTTCAGGCACAGGGAAGGAGAAATGTGGAGCTCTCTGCCCCTGAGGAAGTCAGAGATTGATGGATATTCACTAGATGGGGTTACTGAGCCCTGTGGGTGGGACTGAGATGATGAATCAGTCATTGTCTAGTTGAATGGTGAAAAGGCTTGAGAATGAATGGTTCAAGTTTATTTCTATGTTCCTATTTTTAATTAGCTTCACCTTTCACCTATTGTTTTGAACTTTGAAATTTTTGGAACATTGGGGACATAATTTACACCAGGAATGGCCTAACGCTTGTTGAATCCTGTGGCCATCCGACAACCAGTGATGTGTCTTGGAACAAGTGAGCAGTATAACTGTCTATGCTGCTTGAGTTGAGATGAATTCTTATAAACAGTTATGTTCATGCATTGTTGACCTATTCTTGGTTCTGTCCCACAGCACTGATCCAACTGAAATATCGACCTGTTTACCTTCATTGACACTGGAGAGGAAGCAATTCACCGCAGGAAGAACCTACGTTGCCTGGGTAAAGACCAATGGCACAGAAAGAGAGGAAAGCTTAACAAGGCTGGAATTCATCATCGATGACATAGGTACAGAGATTGCTGTCATACTCAATGGGTCAGCATTTCAGTCACACAGCGTACAACTGGCTAAACAAAGGACCTTTGGATAACTGTACCAGGCACTTTAGCTATTTCTGTGCCAAATCAGAGAGGTAACTCAGTTGTGGAGTGGGTTAAACATTTATCTATCATTCCTGAGACCAGGATTCAAATTGAGCTGAGAATGATTTAGCTGCACGTATGTAAGGGTGAAATTTGATGGGGAGGTCAGGTGAACTCTATGAGCTCTGGCTCACCACCAAACAGCAACTTCTCTGACAAATATTCAATAGTTTGTAACACTTCCTCTCACGTGAGTACATGTTCCACATACATTGATTCTCACTAGGACATGATCCAATACACACTGACACTCACTAGAATACAGATCTACACACAATGATTCTCACTGGGGTAAAATTCTACACACACTGACACTCACTATGGTATAGTTCAATACACAGGCTGACTCTCATACAGGTACGAATTGTACACATGCTGACTAACACTGGGATACAGGTTCCGCAGACACTGTCTCTCACTGTGGTACAATTCAATATACACTGACTCTCACTGGGACACAGGTTCCACGCATACTGACTCTCATTGGGCTAAATGTCCATTATTTCAGATGTAAACATATTCCCTTACCTCAACAGCTAAGCAATGGTTTCTGTCATGTTCATGTTGAGTTAGTGACATTTTATGCAGACTGAGTGTTATGATGCAGTGATAGAATCTGGAGCCAGATGGTTGAAATTATCGAAGAGTCAGTCTTGGGTTGGAGTAGGTGTAGTCAATGGTGATGGCTGTCTTTTCAACTGCTTACACTTTCTGAAATTGCTGTGTTGTTCCTCTAGTAAAGCCTCTGTCTCCAGCTGCTGTGACTGGAGAATTGATACAGAACACTCCAAATACCATATGTATTATATGGCAGAAACCCAACAACCTCGATTCATCAAAACATCTTCAGTTCAAGCTTCAGTACAGAGTTGTAGGTCACCTTTCATGGACTGAGGTAAGTCAGTCTTTGCCCTGTCTGTTTGACCCCTTTAAGGGAGTCAAGCGTTGGAGTGCTCTTTAGATGGTGAGAGTAGCAAGTGACAGCAAGGTATGATAAACACAGGCTGGGTGATAAACACCACATAGATTACAGAACAGTTCAGCACAGGAGCAGGTCCTTCGGTCCACTATGTCTGTGTGAACCATGATGCTATTCTAAATTAATCCCATCTGCCTGCACATGGTCTATAACCCTCTGTTCTCTGCCTGTTCACGTGTCTGTCTAAATGCCTGTTAACCGTCACTATTGTATCTGCTTCTACCACTTTCCCTGGCAGTGCAATCCAGGCACCACCACCTTCTTTGTAAAAAACTTGCCTTGCACATCTCCTTTAAGCCTTCCCCCTCTTATCTTAAACCTATGACCTGAGTATTTGAAATTTCCACCCTATCCATACCTTTCAATTTTATATATCTCTATCAAGTTGCCTCTCAACCTCCAACGCTCTAACAAAAACAATCCAACTTTGTCCAAACTCTCCTTTAATGCTGATACACTCCAATCTGGGCAACATCCTGGTAAACCACTTTTTCACCTCTGCAAAGCCTCCAGATTCTCTCTATAGTGTGGCAACCAGATGTGCACACAATACTCCAAATGTGGCCTAACTAAAGTATTTTTTTACAGCTGCAACATTACTTAACAACATTTATATTCAATGCCCCGACCATACACTTTCTTTACCACCTTATTCACTTATGTTGCCACTTTCAGGGAGCAATGGACTTGCACCCCAAGATCCCTCTGTATATCAATGTTCCTAAGGGTCCTGCCATTTACTATATAATTCCTCTTGCATTTGGAGTCCCAAAATGCTTCACCTTTATTTCCATCTGTCATTTCTCTGTCCAACTTTCTAACGGATCTATAGCCTCCTGTATCCTTTGACAGCCTTCCTCACTAGCCACAACTCCACCAATTTTCATGTTGTCTGCAAGCTTATTAATCAGACTACTGACACAGACTTCCAGTCAGTTAATAGCCCTCCACAACTACCCCGCCTGCTATGACCAAACCAATTTTGTACCCAACTTACAAACTTACAGTGGATCCTATGTGACTTAATCTTTTGGACGAGCCTACCATGAGGGACCGTGTCAAATGCTTTAGTGAAGTCCATGTAGACAACATACACTGCGCACCCTCAATCACTTCCATCACTTCCTCAAAAACCTCAAAAAAAATTTGTGACAGAAAACTTCCCCTGTACAAAGCCATGCTGACTATCCCAAATACGTCTTTTTTTCCAAATGTGAGTAAATCCTGTCCCTAAGAATCTTCTCCAGTATTTTCCCTACCACTGATGTAAGACTCACCAGCCTATAATTTCCTGGATTATCCCTGTTGTCCTTCTTAAAGGAACAACGTTAACTATTCTCCAGTCTTCTGGAACCTCACCTGTGGCTAAAGAGGATGTAAAGATCTTTCTAATGGCCCCAGCAATCTCTTCCCTTGCATCCCTCAGTATCCTGGGATAGATCCCAAGGGGTCTGGGGACTTATCCACCTATTTTTCAAGACACCCAATACCACCTCCTTTTTAATATTGACATGCCCTCGAATATTGACATTTCCTCCCCAAATCTTACCATCATCCATGTCCTTCTCCTTGGTGAATACCGATGTGAAGTGCTCATTCAGGACCTCATTCACTTCCTCTCAATCTACGCATTAATTCCTTCCTTTGTCCTTGAGTGGACCTACCCTTTCCCTAGCTACCCTCTTGCTCCTATAATAAGAGCAAAATGTCTTGGGATTCTCCTTAATTCTATTTGCCAAGGGCATTTCATTGCCCCTTTTAGTCTTCCTATTTCCTGTTTAAGTTCTTTCCTGCTTCCTTTATTTCTTGAACAGCCCTGTCTGATTTTCTGATCTTACAATGACTCTCTTTACCATTTAGATGACATTCCCATGAAACCTGGGACATCAGCATCACTTCACTGAGATATTCCAGCAAGGAATTGCTGATTTAATGTGAGCTTCCATGTTGATGAATGGTTTTAAAGGTATCTGATTGGTATCATCAGAGACTAATGTCCAGTCACATGCTGTGAAAACCACAATATTGCCAATGCTGAAATAGCTTTCAAATTATTGACGACTGATATCACACAAACCCCCAACTTTCTCAGCATCACTTCCTGAAATCTGGAACCTGCAGGATTATCCAGGCAAGTCACTGCTCCTGGCTTGTCTGAAGGTTATCAGACACTTGCTGAGATGTGAATCACATACATCTTGAAACTAGTTATTGTTTGAGCACAATGTACATGACTCCAACTCCATCTGAGATCGATGCTCCTGAACTTATTGAATAAAAGCAAAAGACTGGGAATGCTGGAAATTTGAAATAAAAACGCAGATTCTGAAGAAGAAGCATATTGAACTGGAAACGTTAATGCTGTCTCTCATTCATTAGATGCTGCAAGACCCACTCAGTTTCTCCAACACTTTCTGTTTTTATTTGTTCCCGAATCATTGGTCTTCTGAGGTGGAGGCCTCAAGACCTGGGCCATGTGTCTCTCAAACATGACCCAATGGTTTGCCCGAAAGGTGGCCCTCTCAATTTCTCTCCTGTCAGCAGCAGCTTCTCTCCCATCCATCCTTTTCCAGCTCACACTGTTGCACAGGCACCTTGCACAGTGACCCACTGGATTCACTGGAGCCGGTGAGAAACTCTGTGCTGCTACTGGTAAGGAAGATATCACTGTGGAGATGGATCAAAATATCACCCAAGCTGCTTCTGTAGTCAGTGAGCAAAGTAGAGGCTGAAAGCTGAAAGAGAGATTCCAAAATATAACCCAGTTTAATTCTGAGTTGTACTTGACCAGAAAGAATTGCCCACTCACCCTGAAAATGAAACAAAAAAATCTTTGAAGGCTAACAATATGGAACTCCTCCCCACGCAGCAGCTCTCCAGAAAATAATCACATTTTCTGCATTACATTGAAGGTTCCACAGGATGAAATTGGAATCCATGCAACAGCTTACGAGTTGGAGAATCTGCAGCCATTCACACTCTATGAGTTTCGAGTACAATGTGCACGAGAAGGAGAAACAAACAGGAGACTGTGGAGTGAATGGAGTGCAGTGTCCAGCATCAGAACCTCTGAAGACAGTAGGTGGTCATCCATAACTATATAGATTACCATCTGTCATCTCTCACTGTAACGCTCTGATGTAGCTCACACCCCTCACTGTAACCCTCCGATATACCTCACACCCCTCACTGTAAACATTCTGATATACCCCACACCCCTCACTGTAACACACTGATATACCCCACACCCCTCATTGTAAACACTCTGATATACCCCACACCCCTCATTGTAACACACTGACACACCCCACACCCTTCACTGTAAACACTCTGATATATCCCACACACCTCACTGTAAATACTCTGATATACCCCACACCCCTCACTGTAAACACTCTGATATACCCCACACCCCTCACTGTAAACCCTCTGATATACCCCACACCCCTCACTGTAACACACTTATATTCTCCATACCCGTTACTGTAACACACTGATATACCTCAGAGCCCTCACTTTAAACCCTCTTATATACCCCACACTCCTCACTGTCACACACACTGATATACCCCACACCCCCCACTGTAACACACTGATATACCCCACACCCCCCACTGTAAACACTCTGATTTAACCCACACACCTCACTGTAAACACTCTGATATACCCCACACCCCTCACTGTAACATTCTGATATACCCCACAACCCTCACTGTAAACCCTCTGATATACCCCACACCCCTCACTGTAAAC